CGAGAGATAGCAGAGTTTGTGTGGAAATGGGGTAAAAAAAAAAAAAAAGTAGAGATGGTGTTGTTAGAGGCTGTGAAACAACTTCTTGACTTTACATAGTAGCAGTTCAGTTTTGGTTTCCATGAGGGAGGGATGAGGGGGGCATGGAAGAACAGGAACAAAATATGGAGAATTGGCCTGTGTCCTCACTTTACAAAAACCCCTTTCTTAAAAATGTTACCTGGACCTGAAGCTTCTATCCACCAGTGTTTGGAGTCGAAGAGGGGATGGCTGAATCGAAACCAGTAATGCTTTTCTTGTTCGTTCCAAAAGACAGGCAGCTTTCTTCAGTTTGTTGGCTGTGTGGAGTGGCAGAAAACAGGGAGGGAAATGCCTTCTCTAAAGATTTTGAGATCCACTTCATTTTCTCTTGGAATGAATTACCTTAGAAGGAACCACCAAGGACAGTTTTTCTAAAGGCCCTTCACCAGGATCGTCAGGGCTTAATTACAAACCTTTGTCTTAATTAGAATAAAACTGCTGTGAAGAGGCAAACTCATACATATTTACAGGAGGAAAATTTCAGAAATGGTTCCACCGACGACCGTATGTCCTATTTAGGCCATTTCGACCAAAACTTTCACCTAAGCCATTATTTTTAAACTTGTATTTTAATGTTAGTACCAAACGGGCATAATTTGCTGTTTATAACCCATTTTAGGATTTTAAGTGAGAGCAGAACCATGCCTCTTGTGTGCTGGTGTATCAAAGGTTGCGTCAGCACTTCTGGTATGAACTAGTAATCCAGTTGTCAGTCAGCTCTAATGCTTTTCTCTGGTGTCCCAGTTCAGTGTATAGGGACAGTCCAGGCACTTATCTTAAGCTGTAAGTTTTCCAAAAAGACAAACGAGAAAACGGCTAATTGACTATCATTCAAGCGAAAGCAGGATAAATAAAGTACGCCAGCTTGTTAAGAAGTTTGTATATGCAGAAACTCAGATGGCTGCCAGCCACAGAATTTCTAAGGATAGTTTTCCCAGCACTGTTTTGGGTAGCCCTTTAATAAATCCCAAATCTTATAAAACACGAGGGTGATGTTTTAAATTTTAGAATATAGTTCTTAGGGTTTCACCCCCCCCCCCTTAACAATTACAAGAGAATCTTTAGTGTAAATACGATGGCACAAGTGTATACAGATTGCTGATGCCCTAAACTCAGTATCGGATGTGCTATATAACTTCCAGGGTGATTTTATATTTCTTCTTAAAGATGTATTAATGTATATAGCTATTTCATACAAAGTAGGTTGCCTTTTGGTGTCTGTATGATATATTGGCTAAGCAAAAAAGCAAGGACATATGGATGACCAAATGAACACATTTTACTGACAGTAATCTGGGGATATAACCAGTACCATTTCTTCATCTTTTTCCTCATAAAACACTTGATGTAATAGTGCCTTTTTCAAGGAATATTGTTAACATCATCTATTGTCCTAAAAATAGCTGCATTTGTAACATGAGTCACTGGTAGTTTTGAAATGGAAGTGTGCTGTATGCTAATAACAGGTGAACAGTATTTTCATTTTATTTTCAGAGGTTCTTTTAAGAGTGCCTTATAGCTGGCTCAGTTTTTTAAACTTCAGTATAAAAATCCATTTTAGAAGAAATTTATAAGAAAACCTGCCTTAGATGGTAGTTTAAGATAAATAGAACTGCCTGAACACCTGCAAATCTTAGAAAATCTGAGATTCAGTGATTTTGAGTTCAGACGTGTAACATCTGTTCATATTTGTGTCTTATACCTTAATTGGGAAACAGAATTTCATTGGGAAGCTTCACAATGTGATTTGCTCCAGGGAGGGTTTAGCTTGTTGCTGGAAATGAGTTGATATTGATGCATGTTTACAAATAGCTCAGCAAGCCTGGAAGTGGCTACAGTTATACCCTCTTCTGGCCTCCTCTAAAAAGAACATAAGGAGAACAAATGCAGTTGCCTTTACACAGCATAAACTGTGTTATGGGTAGAATATTAATAGAGGAGCAGTTACCAGAACTTTCCCAACTATTAATAATAACCTAGAGAAAACCAAGTATAGCATTTCAAGAGCTTCGTGCTGATTTACCTTTTAATATGTTATAGATTTTCAAGTGCCCCCAACTTACTTTTACAAAGGACAATTTTAATTTGCGGGCAGTTGTAATTCCTCTTTCACTCACATTCATAGAAGGATTGTAATCTCCAGGGAGCCACTTAGAACAGTATTTGGCAGCTAAGGGATTTGATGGGTGTAAGAAAAGCCTGGCTTTTGATAAAACGTAACAAAACAAAAACAAACACATAGCCAAGCAATAGATTTTACCTGCTATCAAAAATGCATCTGAGGAATTTCCTTTAAGTTTCCGGAATTTTTGTTAAATTTATTTATTTTTTCCATGAAAGACAGATAGGCACCCCCAACAGGCCCCTCATGTTATAATCCATCCCCAGTCTCAGCTAGTGGGCATGCTCCAGACCAAGCTTGCTTAGGAAGGTCTTGGTACACAAACCCAGGACCTTTCCCATGTGGGTCCACTTGCTTTACCACTCTACCACAACCTGATCCCATCAAGTTTGTGTATAATGGTAAGGCCACTTGGAGAGACCATAGATACAGCCAACTCCACTATACATATTAGTGAAAAGGGTTATAGATGCTTCAAAGTAAATCTTGGAAATACCTATATACCACAGCAAACAGCAAACTTCTATATGAACTATGGTAAATTATAACATATTCCTGTAGCAGGACAGAGTATTGCTGTGGAAAATACAGGAGACTTTGCATTCTTAGTAACCCAAACTTGGTCACTTGCCAATCACATGACCTCATATCACTTAATGTCTTCAATTGATTTGTCATGAAGATGAAATACATGAAGATACCTGCTCATTAATATGTCTCTTCCTTATATATTCAGAAAAATCCAAAGTGACTTTTTTTCAGTAACTGAGGACTTTTTTTCTCAAGTAGCAAAATTTTTTGGCATTGTACAATGATATACTTTGTTAATTTCAAATTTAAATTTTTATATGCATGACCTAAC